TGAAGGTGAGTTGACTTCTTTCAAAATACTGTTATATGATCTTTGTGCATAGTTAGCAGTGTTTTGGGTAAAGGTACAGATGGCGAGGGTAAAGTAATTAGTTGTGGCAGTGTCTTTGGGCTGAATGTTGACTCTCTTTCCTTGAAAGGGCTTCAGGCAGACTTCAGTGCCACCCTGGCGTGAAATACGACTGTACAGCCTGGTCACATCCATGATGACTAGAATGAGCTTTGCATAGTTAGTTTTGATAGTACTGTAGAGAGATCTTCTTCAGAATCCTTTGACTATAAATTTGCACTGACTGTCATGGGTGATTCATTTCTGGTCACAATCCATGTCAGTCACAGTGTGGAATAGAAAAAAAAAATCAGTATTTTTAGTTCAGGATATATCTGCTGTGAAACCCAGTTAAGTCTTATGCTGTTGCTTTCCATTCAATGTCTAGGTAAACTAACAGTATCATAGCTGTCACTTAAAATAATAATCTTTACATTTAAGCATATTAGAGGTATTTTAGGAACCAAATATAAAGATGGTAATGTTATTATTTTGTGTATGTACATCATAGGGGATCCGTGCATGAAATTAGGTGTGGTAATTATCCAGAATTAACTGTGAGTATTACTGACAGCAGTAGATGACAGCACTGTAACACACAGAAAAAGATACATGTTTTTGTGGAGTGAAATTTCAACAACTGTTCCCTTTTAATAATCTACTTCCTGCCCTTTATATACTTAGTTGTAAAAGGATCTGGTTTAAATGCCTAGACTGGAAACAGAGGACTATGTTGGTATATTTAACTGATCGAATTTGTGGAGGCATCAACTGTCTGTATAAACAAGGCTTTTGAGATTTTTTTATGATCTTACATGTACTTTGCCATGTTTGTTGGTGGAAGTTGTAGCCTGGTAGGATGACACTACTTTTTTCTCTTCTACTGAATCCTATGAAAGGTAAATTTTTCTGGCCCAGTAAAGAATGGTCGTACATGGATACTAATGTACAATTCAGCAGCACAAACGTTGATTAGAATTTTTTGCTTGCTTTTCTTACCCCACTCTGTATTTTGGGCAGATGGACACTGGCTGTTGATTGGCAGGTTTGAGATCAGAGCAGCAGGGTGAGGCAGGTGTGCTGGCTAAGCAGTGTAGGGACTCCTGTGTATCTTCCCCTTTTACACTTGGTTATTTTACTGCAGGCTGTTTGCTGTATGAAAGATCATGCATTTGCAGAGAGCTGTTCAAAAGGGAGATGGGGAGTATAGAATGGGGTGCATAGCAGTCAGGGATTCCTCAGGACTTGGCTCAGAATGTGAGTTTCAAATAAAGTAAGTAATACATTAATTTTTAAATAATGTCTTGGACTAATGAGGTCTGTAAGGTCCTGTTTTATGGGTTACTTACTGTTCAGGCTTAATATTTGGGTTTGTTTCTACTATCTTGGTACTTGTATTTGGCTGTTTATGTTACAGCTTTTCAAAGCTGATTGAACTCACTTTCTCATGCAGACACTTGTATATTTGTAATGGCCTATGAAATAGAATCTCCACTAGGTCTGCAAGGTTACACAATTGTGTGGATGTGCCATGAAACATTAAAAACTGTAGACTCCTGGATTACATAATTAGCTATCTTTTTGAGAAAAAGAAAGGAGTATGTTTAATGTCAGGGGAGCAAAGAGAAAGCATTTATTGAAATAATCATAAGCAATCATGTTCTGTTGACATACCCGAAATGGGTTAAAACCCACATACTGTTTACCTACTGAAAATTAAACCAAGTGTCTTTCTTGGGACATACCCTTTTTAAATGTAGAGGCTTTTCCTCAACAGTAGAAATCCAGTGAAAAAACTGTCTGTTCTACCCCAGCCCATGTCCACACCTCTGTGTACAGGATGGCTGTAAGAAAAGGCATGATCCTGGTGACAGCGCTGTGGGTGCACTCAGGCTGCTGTGCACAGCCAGCTGTGCATCCCATGGGATGAGAGGGGAGTGCCTGACTGAAGAGACCCTTCTGGGGCCCAGGGCACTGTGCAGGTAGACTTGTGTATTTCCATGGAAAGCTAGATGGGATCTGGCTGGCCTGTGTTGAGTCAGAGCTTAGAAACTCTTGCTGGCCTCATTCTGGCATGCTGTGTGTAGCTATGGATGTGTACCAGCACTTAACTTCTTCAGGCCTACCAGCTCAAGGATGAGGCTTCATGAGTTAACTCTGTGATGCTGAACTGTCCTTGGGTGCAGAAGTGCTCCAGAAAGCTTTAATTCTGTGATGTGCCAGCATGTCCTCCTGGACCTGTGCTTCAGCATGCCACCTGGGGCTTGGTGTGTCCCAGGCTGTCTGTGTGTAGATGTAAAACTGAGAATAGATTATTGCAGGGTGTTTTGTGGTGCCTGTTTTCTCTTCTTACAGTACCTGCAGAAATCCCAGTGGGAATGACTGTCTGCCCCCTCTAGTATGTTACCCCTGTTTGTTCACCGAATCTAGTTGCACTGGGTTGTTGCATCTTTTAGAGTATATTGCAACAATATGTTTGGAACGTGAGAGACTCTTGAGATTTTTGGAAAATTTTCTTGGAATGGAAGATGGTAAAATGCTGGAAGAACCAGAGAGGTTGTGGAATCTGTGTCCTTAGAGGTGTTCAAGACTCAGCTGGATGGGGCCCCAAGTAGTCTGATCTAATTATCTTGCTTTCAGTTGAAGCTAAGAGTAGGTGACTTCTGAAAGTCCTTTCTTAAGTTACTCTCATTCTGTGCTATTTTTAGTTTTTATTCCTCAAAGTTCCACCTGAGCAAAAAGTAGCTCTCCCTTTTGGGGTTTTGTATATGGATGGTTGTAGGCTCACATGCTGAGCGTTTGTTTAACCAAGAGATCTAAAAGTTTGACACTTAATGCTGTGTTAATGCTATCACTACTCCATATTAAATAATATGCTGCATTTCTTTTAACACGTGTAACACTTAAAAGCTGAAATGTCACCAAAGAGTTGTATGGTGGAGAACGGCATAATAAAGCCTGAATCAATCTAAATTTCTCTTCTATAAATGTATTTTAAATGTCTCCTAAACCAGAACTGTCTCTGATTTAATTCGCTTGGCCTTCTATAAGTCAGTTTTACTCTTGCTGGAATATCTAGATGCAGCTTGAGAGGGATGAATTGTAATTCTTGTGGAAAGTAGCCCTGTTCAGAGGGAGGGGTGGTAAAATTATTGCTCCCAAAGCAGCCAGAGTGTTAGTGAAAAACGTGCTGGGTGGTAGGAGGGGAAGAAATGTCCCAGTTTCCCACTAGCTGTATGCAAAACAGTCACATTGCGCACATTAAATGATGACACAGAGAGGGTGTTATGAGGGGTGACACCTGGAGTGGTATTCCTTTGGAATCTTGGCTGGGACCCCTTTACAGGGTGTGGCTGGTGAGCCATGGGCACATGTGTTCATGTCTGGCTCCTCTGGTCTTCCCTCTCACCCTTGGATTTGAAAGATACTCACTGGAATAGTTAAAGAGACTTCTGGAGAGGAAAAACTAAGAAGAGAGGAAATGCATTGCACAAGGTATGGCTGAAGTAGAATGAAGGGGAAGAAAGGGTGATTTTGAATTACGGGGAGAAAAGGTAGGCAAATGAGCTAAAGGGAAGAAGAAGCATTAATTCTCCATCTCAATGGAGAATGAAGTTGAAGCTAATGTGATGGACAGGCATATTTAAGGCCTTCAAGAATCTACCTACAAAAAATACTGTTTTAGATGTCATGTTACAATTAAATTGTGCATGCCATAAGGAATTTACTGTGTAAGTATTTACTGTGTTCCTCAATTTTCAAGTGGCTTGGCAAGCTGTTACCACTCTGGCTACTAGGTCTAGTGATTTGGCTGCTATATGGGGATCATGTGTGTATTTATGTTTTTGGGGGTGGGGTTATATATGTACCCAAATACTTAATTTTTGCCTCATTTTCTGAACTATTTAATTTACTGGAAATAGCAGATGTCATTGCAGAGGCTAGTTGCTGTTATGACTTCAGATGGACACTGCTGAAAGTGTTTAGATGATCTAAAAATAATGTCATGTAGCATAAGAGACATTATATGTGAGCTGATACTTGTTCATGAGTCATTTCCTGCTGAAAGTGCTATACAAAGCTAAGTGCTAGAGGGGGTGTATGTATGTGATTATATATAAATGAAGAGCAGCCGTGCTTTTTTCCATGGTTCTTTATGTGCCTGTGCTGGTTCAGAGTATGAGTGTGGTGACCAATATTCTGCCTTTAAACAATGGTCATATTTAGATACTGGCTATTGGAAATTGTAATGGTTTTCTGGGGTTGTACAGTGATAAATTTTCCCTTGAGGTTGACTGTGAGAATATGTGGCCTACTTTAAAAACTCCTTGAACAGAGGAACTAATTGCTGCTCTGAATGGTGTTTTAAATTATAATATTTTAACTATTATTTAGATTAAAAATTAACCAAAATGAAACAAACCACTAAATGGATATGTCTCACAGAGGCAGTTTGTATGCAGCTACATAAGGAATTACTTTGAGTACCGCTGTTGATGATTTCATTGCTGGCTGTATCAGCTAGATAATGTAGTTTTTATGCATGGTAGAAGAGGACTGTATCTCAGTGGCCAAATCTTCAACTGGTTTCTGTCCCAAAATTAATTCATTGCTTTCTATTTGAAGGCTTGCAATGCAAGATTCTGCTGTGAATTGAGAATGAGTTTTAGGATAGGAATTGTATGGTAAGTGTTAAAGAGTTCAAGAAAAGTTTAAGCATCATGTTTCTAAATAGTAAAAATACATGTGTTGGAGTTCTGGGAAAGCTTTCGTCTAGCAGAAGGATTTTAATTAACAAAAAAAAACCTCTCCAAGACACATACACAGCCTGACTCAAGTTTTATGTATGAGACATAGGATTCAGTTTTCATCTTGACAGGTATTTTGTTGCTGACTTCTGTACTGTATCTCTAATGACAGACTTCTGGCTTTCTTTTTTATAGGCTCAGATTATTCATCAGTGGGATGGTTACCTGGTACTGAATCCCTGTGGCAGTCCTCAACAATTTCATCAAGCAGTCAAAACAATCCTGTGAGAAGACACAGCATTGCTTCTGACAGTGGGGACACTGGGATTGGTACCTCCTGTTCTGACAGTGTGGAAGGTGAGTTGACACTTGTAAGTTTTGTATGTTTCTGAGAGAGAAATGATCCAAAATGTTTTAAAGATCTTTTTCACAAGCTAGCCATACATCTGCAAAGCTGTTGAGCGCATGTGGTTTTTTCCTTGCTGGAGCCAAGTAATTGTTTTGGTGAGGGTTGATTAATTTAGTTCTACATGAGTTGTTTGCATTAACTTGCATCTATGCCACAAAAGGGGTGCTTGTGTTACATGTTTTGATAATTGCAGTTGCAAGAAGTGCCAGGTTTATACAGAGGAGTAATGTTCTGTACTACAGCACTTGATAAACAAGTGGGAAAAAGCAGAAACTTTTGAGGGAGCTGATAAAAGGACAGTGCTTTCTGGTATTCATTGTGTGTGTCACATAGTGTGTGTCAGCAAAGAAAGTTTGCTCATCGTGCTGTGAGGAAAACATACTGTCTCTTCTCATCTCCACTTCTGGTGGGAAGGAATTTGCATTTTATTGCATGGCATCTGACACAGTCAACAATCTTTAAGAAAAATCAACATTATCTAAAGATTGTCAGAACTTAGTTTGGATTAAATCATGATTAGTCAAAGGTGATTTTATCAGGGAGGGGTACAGCCTCTACAGTGGCAGTGTTTCCATAACATTATCACCCTCCTTATGCAGCCTGTCGCTGGAATTAAGCTGGAATGAGGGAGAACTAGGCTGTAGTAAGACTTGAGGCTTCCTTCTTGCATTGACTTATTTCCCAGTAAGATTTTTGAGACAGATAACGAATGACAGCAGGACTGTGATATACTTTACTCCAGCATCTTTCTATGCCTGATAAATTTTGCAAAAGGTATAGCTGGAATGAGAAAGAACAGGAAGAATTAGTAGAAATGAAGTAAGGAATGCTGAATCGGTGTAAGACAGAAGTCTCTGTGGAGGGCTGAGCATTCCTGAGGAGATGTCCAAATACCTCAGTTAAGTCTGTCAGACCTCTTTTGCACATGAGAAAATCCCTTCCACCCTCTTTCTGTTGCATCTGTCAGCTCATAACTTGCTTTCTGTTTCCTTTCATTTGTAAACAGTTGTTGGCTTTGGAAAATAAAGGTTTTGCTCAGATATTCAAATTCTTGAGTGCAAAACTGAAATAGTAAATGGCTATTAATGCAGCAGGTTGGTTTTTTTTTGGTTTTTTTTTTTTCCAAGAGATATAGGGGGGATAAAGCACTCTGATGTTGTGTATTTATATATAGATTTAATCACTCCCAGCCAAATGCTACACAATAGTATTTTAAGACACAGCATTTGAATTAAAACCATGCCCTTCCCTCCCCCCTTTGAGGGCTTCCCCATTTGAGGGGTTGGATGAAGGAGAGGAAATGAAACAACGGCTCCTCATCAGATGTTCTGTTCTCCTTTGTAGGCAAGAGAATAATCTGTTCAGGGCTGGGTGGGGAGAGACTGTGCTGGAGAAGGAGAGTAAAACAGAGAGGGGAAAGGTTGCAGCAACAGATAGTTCATGAGGTTTGTCTTCGGCAGTGCTTGACAATGGTCAGTTCTACTGCATCCTTAATGTTATGCATTTCCCACTGCCTTGTTTGAAAAGCTTTCAAGTAGCAGAAAAGACAGCATTAAAGAAAAAAGGAGGGAAACCTGATGGTGAAATGAAGATTAAAGGAGGAATCATGTGACAGGCCTGGAAATTGATAGTATATGTATGTTTTTAGTGGAAGGGGTTGTTGCCTATGATACCTAGCTGTCTGCATCTCTCAAGCTGCCCCCTGCACACATCCACAAAAAGGAAAGAGTATCACTGTCATCTGTGGAACTGTCAGGCCAGACTGGTAATTGCAGACTTGATGCTGACCATCTGCTATCAATGTGATGCTTGGGAAGAAGCTCCTGGGGATTTTTCAGAGCGGATTTTTTTTTTTTTTTTGCAAACTGGGAGATTATTACAGTTTTTAACAATGCTAGGATAATGAATTGTGGACATGCTATTTCCTTTCTATTATGCCCACTAAAAATAAAAAAAATAGTTGGAGAATTGGCATTAACATCTCCTTTAATTCTGAGGGTTGCACCTGAGTTTGATGGTACAGATATATAGTTGCTAATAAATATGCTCATGCAGGGAATGGACCTCAGGTATATTTAAAATATATTTTTACTAGGATTATTTTATAACATCTTTAATGTTCTTTCAAATTAATTTTCTTACTCATACTAATTTCAGGAGCATTCATTCTCTTAGAAAAATGTAGCATTTTAAAAAAAAAGAGACAAGTATCTCTTGTGTTTGGCTCAAATCTGTGTGATTTGGAGGGAAAAATTTGGGTTTTGACAAGGACAGGAGAAAGAAAATGTTAAAATGTATTCAGTTGATTGTATATTGTTGTGCAAAGGTAGGAAAATTAGGAAATGAGATAGACAGTGGAGTTTCATTGTTGAAATTGCATGATGTTGATGTGCACTGTGGGAACTGAGGACAGAAATTTATAAACCTTAAATGTGGGGATGTTAGTTTGGGTAGATCTGACACTTAATTCAGAGTGCTCTTAATTTAAAGATTAAAAGGCATTTTATATCTGTTTAAACTACAGTTAATGTATTTGGGGGTTTTATTTGTTTCCTGTTAGTTTGTTTCCTGTTCTAGGTTTCACATGAGCTTTTGCACTTCATTTTAACAACCGTTGTGATACCTGTGTATAACCATTCTTTCAGTAGCACTTAGAGAAGAAATATGAAGTGTGTATTTTAAGTGTTTTTGAGACTGTTTTTATTTGGGTTACCTAATTAGAGAATCAGGGATTTGGCAGAAATTAAGTGGTCTCTAAACTCCAGCACAGCTCTTTCCCTTATGCACATTCTGAATTTTGCCTTTTGGACGGGAGGGATAAGAACTAGATATTGAAGTGATCAGATACAGGGCCCATGATTCTTTCAGACCAAAACATTTTCCTTCATCAGATAAGCTTGTGCAGCGGAAAGTCCCCAGATCTTTCTCCCTTATAGTTACATGCAATTCATGATTTAACATTTCTGGTTGCAAACTAGTAGTGTGAAAATTCATAGAATGTTGCTTTCCTGGAAGAGAGAGATTGGATGCAGAGAATCAGTTACTACATTATTAGGAGTTGATGTTCTGCCAGTTTAATAAACCCCCTTTTCTAACAACCCTTCAACAACTTCTCTGGAATGCTTAGCTGACAGAATAGGAATTGTTTTAATGTTATGAGAGCCAGAGGAGTTTGTCTATCATTTTTAAGGGAATATATTATCTTTTTAAGGAATTAAAAAAACTGAATTACTTCAGTTGAATTTATTTACATGCCAAGGAGCATGGAGAAGCCAGAATCAAAGTTACTTGGTTTTGCTCTTTCAAGTGCTTTCTTCCAGCAGGTCCCAAGCCTGGTATTCTAATGTTTTTGTTTTTTTCATTAAGGAGAAAAAGAAAAATTAGTAAATATAGCTATTCAATATAGTGAAAAGCAGAACTGAATTTGAGGAGGCAGAATTTAATTATGAGGTATCTTGAGCAGAGGTTTTCTGTTGCTTGTAAAGACAATAGGATTGACAAAGCGTAGGTCAAACATGTAGATTGTGCTATCAGTTTGGGTATCACAAAAGTGCAATAGCACAAGGATGGTGGCAGTGCTCACCATCTTCTGTGTTCTGTGATTTTGGAAGATGATGGATTTTCAGGAGAAGTTTGATTTTAACGGAGTTGAAGTTAATTTCTGTACCCTCAGATGCTGGCAAGTATTGGCATACGTTTGGTGAAGTAGCTTGATTATTTAGAGGGTAGAAAACAATCGTGTTTGCGGCATTTTTCCTTGTTTCCTTCCTCCCTGCTTGCCAAGTCTCACGTTATGAAGTGATGTCCAGCCCTCTGTGAGTCAGAGTTATTGTGTTACTTGGATATTATCTACCCTGACCATCAGAAATGTGCACTGCACTTAAGTTTATATTAATCTCTAGTCCTTATAAGTGGTACTGCCATGGCTTGCTAGAATGAAGTGTCTGTGTAGCTGACGAGAATATAGAGGTTAATACTTGGAGTTTGGCTGTCTATTTTTGGGGGGCTTTAGGATAAAAAAAAACCCAAAAAACTAAGGGTTATTTCAGATTCTAGTAGCCTATTCCCAGGATTTAACAAATAGGAAAAAATTACAATAATAATTTCCCACTAAAATAGGATAAATTGCTTCAAGTAACAGTGACATACTCCATGTGAACTTGTGTATTCTGAATTTGAAACTGGCTTGAACTAAACTAAAGACACTTATTAGTTTCATACATTAATGTTCTGCAGAGAGAAATAGCTGCTGCTTTAACTTCATACTTTGCCTTCTTTTGTAATAGTTTCTCTATAGGAACAAGCTCTCTCTCTCTTTAAAACTATTTTAAAGAGTTTTTAAACTCTTTAAAAGTATAGAGTTTAAAACTTTATACTCAGTTTTCCTCACATAAAAAATACCAGCAGGATTTTTCTCTGGCTAGTTGGGAGTGTTCTGTGCAGTGAACTTGGTGCGTTTTGCCTTCAGCTAACATCAGTAGTTGTTTTTCAGAAAAATTCTGTTATTCTAGTTGGAAATAACTCCATGAAAATAAATTCTGCTTACTTAGAATTTGGTGGCATTTTCTTGGTTACTGCACAAAAAGTTATTTCTGTCATATGATGTATTTTGGAGCTATGTCACTGACTTGTACCAGAATGTTTAAATGGTGCGATGGGGAAGAGGATCAGAAGGGAAAAAAAACCAAGGAAAAAACTATCAGACTTCAGGGTTGACATAAAGACAGTTTAATAATGAAAGAAAAACGTGCACATTGTGATGTAAAAGCAGCATCAGGAGACTGATGCCTAGCCAGTCTCTGAGTAACAAATACTTTGGAAAAAACCTGCCCCTCAGTTTCATTGCTGAGCATGTGTAGTGCAGAATAGCATGACATTATATAGTATGGAATCTCTTTGGTATTTCAGGTCAGCTGTCCCAGCTGTGTCCTCTCCCAACCTCTTGTGG